TTTCTCCTTCGAATGGCCCACGGTGGTACGAAAGGGGTAATAAAAGAAAACGATTTAGGAGCCATTAAGGGTCTATTCAAAGATCTAACTTATTGTTCGCTCAGATACCTAATCAATCCTCAGAGATGATTTGGATCTAAAAGTATTGGACCATATTTTCAGGGTTGTTCCCATTATTTGATATACCTTGTCGCCTGACGTTTTCTTTCGGTATCTGCCTCTCTCTCTCTCTCTCTCTTTTTCTCCCACCCATTCTCTCTCTCTCTCTCTCTCTCATTCTCTCTCTCTCTCTCGTCCCTCTCTCCGTCTCTCTCCCTCTTTCTCACTCCCCATCTCTCCCCCTCTTTTTCTCCCCTCTCTCTCTCTCCTTTTCTCTCTATCTCTCTCCCTCCCTCTCTCTCTCTCTCTCTCTCTCTCTCTCTCTCTCTTTCTTTCTCTGCTCTCTCTGTATCTTTATCTCCCCTCTCTTATTTTGTACTACGTTTTTATGTTATAACATGATATATTGAGAGCATTCGTTTGAGCATATTTAGCATGTTGAGTGTGCTTCTGAGAAGAGCGCGAGATCATAGAATTCAGTCCCGTTTCGACATAGGCCTACACTTCAAACGCAAGTCATTTCAAATACCCATTTATGTACAAAGTAGAAGCCCTTTAAATACATGTACTAAAGTTTAAAGCATAGTAAAACCACGATAGCAACTTGACGCAATATACATGCATAACTCACCAATTACCCTCTGGGAATGCAGTTTATAAGTTATCAATCTGACATACTTCAGTTGAAGTTCAGCAATGAAAACTCATCTTCAACTATTCAAGATCGTCCCCATCTGGAATGTGATGATCATGACAACTATCGAATGAAGAAAGAAAAATAATTAGATACCATTACAGGATAACATCATCACAACAAAAAAAACTCTCCATTTATTAATATTGACAGGTGGGTGGGTGTCAATGCCATTATTTACGAGATCATTTTGTGGTTCATAAATAGTATTTTGAACTTTTCTTTGTTGGTAAAATGAGCATGCAGAGCGGAATGATAAACAGTTCACCATGTTTGCTTGAATTTATCTTTGATTCAGGTACGTTAAGTATTCAGAAAGGCTAAGACGTGACCAGACATAAATCCACGTTTATCAACCGTAACAAATCCGGGTTTTGCCTCAATTGTGTATTAATGGTAATATCATAATCAAACTATCATGTATAGATAAATTTGTTAAACAGAAGTGGAAACCTGCTCTTCAATTAGTATGAAGAGATAATGGTGCCTTGGTATTTATAAAAGCATTGTTACGTAAAATAACAAGATTTAGGATAGCAAAGTAGTAAGAACTCAATCTAGGTTAATGCTAGGTTAATGCTAAGTTCAATGACTATTCATGAACTAATTAAGTTCACTGCCCTAAAATCAATGTACTGGAGTCTATACAGTTCTTGCCCCCCCACGCCGAATCTATTCACAGCGTTAATAATGTATGGCATATTTATTTCGTTTATGAATTTCCCTCTACCTAAACGAGTTCATTCCTCTTTCCAGCACCTCGTCATCCTCCTCTCCAGCAAACATGATAACTAATTTGTTGTATTTTGTAATTGATTTGAATCGATGAGAGTGTTGGCTCAATCAGTAGAGCGTCCGCCTCACAACCGGGAGGTCGTGGGTTCGAACCCCGGCCGCTTCATACCAAAAGACGTTAAAAAGATGGGAGTTGTTGCTACCTTGTTTGGCGTTCAACAATATTAAAGGCCCACTGCACTACTTGTATCTACTTGCGCCCTCTATATAACAAACAATGCCTAATCGGTGACCATTGGTCCCCCATGATCCTCTTTTTTTTATGTTAACTGAGAGTTGAGTTGATGAGATAACCAACTATCCAGTGACCTTGCAGAGCGGTCTAATCCCTCCTGTAAACTACGGCAGATAAGCTTTAAGGGATAGAGCAACGTCGATCTGGCGCTGTTCAGTGGCTGCCGGGCTCACGATCAATTGGGCAAAAAGAATTTCCGTTTCGGTTTAATAAAATTTGGAGTGGACTATAAGCCTATATTATTATTATTATTATTATGATTATGATTTCGATCTATTTCCTGGTCGGTTTAATATTATCTTACTAGGCGCTGGCAAAACTGAAATACCTAATTGCTAACATGAATACAATGTAACGATATATAGCTTCGTAATAAAGAGTTTCCACTTTATAGTATTCATGCACTTTGTGTTATGTGAAATGAAATCTTAGCAAGAAGCTTGTTTTGGATGGTATAGCCTTGTGACGGCAAGGATTTTAAATCCAATTAGTTTGTGTTGTTTGTAATAATATTATTGACTTATTGAATGCCTTCCCTTGGTCATGTCGGCGCAAAGGAAGATATTGTGGTTTATAGCCGTTTGGTCTACAACCAGTTCGTCTAATACCCAATTGGTCTACTCCCGTATGGTCTAATAATCAGTTATTCGTGAATAGTAATAATCATCAACTGATACTCAGAACTTATAGACCAAATTGGCATTAGCAAACTGAGAATTAGACTAACTGGTTATTCGACTAAGTGAACAATAGACCACATGGTTAGTAGACTAATTGGAAATTTGACCATATGGAAAATTAGACAAAATGGGTGGTATTCTCATAAGTTAAGCCGGGACTAAGTCCAGACTAAACAAGAATTTTAGTTCACACTTCTATGGAATGCTAGGTTTCATCTTCCTCCTTCAATATTCATGACAAAGATAATCTACCAAAGACTTTTTGGAAATTCAGTTCATACTCATATTATCTTTTTCTTCCCATTTCATTGCAAAATTAATTTTTTGGAAACTTTTCATTGAAGGATTAAAATAATCTGTACAGGATAAATGAGTTGACAACAGGCACTCCATAAAAGTGTGGACTAACTTAGTGCGCGCTAACTTAGTACGCGCTACCAGAATAACACCCAATGAGTATTAGCCTAAACGGTCATTAGACCAAACGATAAGTAGACGAAATTATTATTAGACCATAGTAGACGGGCTGGGTGTAGACCATATGGGAATAGACTGATTGGGTAGTAGACAAACTGATGGTGGACCAAACGGCAATTCACCGATATTTTGATGCTGAAAAGTACCTTCCAGGGGTCCACGGCTTGAAGTCCTAACAGAGGGACAAGCGAATTAAAGATGGATTATTCACCATTGGATATTGTTTGGGTCTCGTACTCGTGTTACCCTATTTCAAGTCCATTAACATACCCTAGTTGAACCATTCTGTTCGAAGATAAAATAATGACCAATTCGAATGGTATGTAGTTCAAATGGTTATAAGAAACCAATGTATGAGAATAACATTTACATATAATAGCCATTATGCTTTAAACATCAACAACATATTCACATGGACGAATATTTCCAAAATGTTTTGGAATTTGAGTCAGATGATAGGTACATTACCTCAATAAGGGTAAAATATTTACGATATTATGTTCCTTAGATGTTTAGAGAACTTATCTGAGCGGAAACTAAATAAAGTCTAGCAATTAAACAGCTTTCTTCAAAACATACCAGATATCGTAACCATGTATAAACGAATGTATCGAGTATGTGTTGGAATTCTTGAATTTCAATCAGGCTTTCCAATATAGTTTTAATCTTTACATAGAAATAGAATGAATCTTGAATGTTTTTATATTTCTATGAAGATGGCCTTTACGAAAACCTCCTGTTTATAGTGATACAAGTAACTGTGTTTAGTGTTAAACTTGTTGCCCTTCTCACCAGATTGCAAAAATATTCATTTCGGCGTCAAATATAGTATTTTTTAGGTCCATAGAATGAAGACGCGTTTCTATTTATTCTTTCAATAATAGATTCTGTCAAAGATTCTGTCAAAGTAATGGGCTCGCTCCTGGGAAAACGCAGATTCGAATTTTGTACGACTTCCTTTCACGATCCCCATTTTCAATTTCTCACCCTCGGACAAACACAAAGTGTCAACACAGAAGCCTTTTATGTTAATGCAATTTGCAGCTAATGCTATACTTCTGAAAATACCCACAGAAAAGAGTTGGACAGGGTTTATAGGAACACTTTTGCGATATCGTTTAGAACGGTTTCGGGGCTAATGGGCGTTATTGTTCAAATTTGAAAAGTTATATTCTTGGCAGGCTTTTGTGTATCCATGATTATGACATTGATAATATTCTTAGGAGTGAATTTGTTTGTGTTTATTGTCTATAGCCCAGATACGTCAGAGAAGCATAAATAGGTATAGTGTGAGAGAAGTAGAGAACAAGAGGGAATGAGGGAGAGAGAGAGAGGGGGGGGGGGGGGGGGGGAGGGGGTAGAATGGAAGAATGATATAATGGGAAGAGAGAAAGAGTCATGCAGACAGAGAGAATGAATTAGCATATTTTAAGAAATAAAAGTGAAAATAAAGAAGAATTTATTATGTGAGTTGGTGTCGCGGTAATATCCGTACCACAGACAAACTGATTCAGCGGACCCCGTTTAGAGTCTTTTGGATGGTGACGTTAAAGTTCGGTCCCCAGACGTATCTGGTTGATACACAAATTACACACACAAGATCATAATGTCGGCCAAATATACCTATCGAGGACAGTACTTCGACGTACATTGTATCATAAGTCATGTAAGTATGATTCCAACCATGATAGCCAACCTCTCCCGCCATGTCCATCAGCCGTGTTTCATGTCGTAATAGGGACTTTTAATTTGCACGACGAAATAGTGGACTGCTACGCGTGACGTCCTTATAAGACCCTGGCAGTGCCTTAAAAGGACGTCACACGTAGCAGTCCACTATGTCGACGTACAAATCTAAAAGTCCCTAATAACTGATCATGTAGACATGTCTGTTTTTGTAACTCCTGACACAAACAAACCGCATAAAAACAGACTGCCCTTGGCGAAGTGATTGTATAAAAACTCGATCGATTTCTGTCATTCAAGGGGTAATCCCTCCCCTTCCTTTCTCATTGTACAGGTACAAGGGTAGCCCGTATCCCTCTCTTCTGACCTAAGAGCGTTGTTGGGAAGTCAAGAAGTAGAGACCAAGATGGCTTCTTCGTCTTTGATCATCACCTCCTCTGCAGTACTCTTCCTCCTGACCTTAGCTGTCCTCTTCGCCGCCGTCCCCGCAGATCACCACACCCCGCGCTACTGCGCCGTCCGCGGGTGCTGCAACGTAACCGGCGCTATCACGATCAGCGAAGCGGTCGCCAGGACGGGAATCGCACGCAACGACAAGTGCCACGCCCCTTATCCAACCAGCAACCCGACGACGCTGTGCTACTGCGACGGGTTCTGCCAGAGGAACGATCCTGACTGCTGCCCCGACTTTTATGAGGTGTGTTTAGGTCAAATTCCGCCTCCGGAGGTAATACTGGATGCTTCAAAAACAGGTATGCCCCATAATAATGTTGTACTTAATGCTAAATATATTACTCACTTTGAATGTAGTATCGAAAATAATATCGCTAGTGACATTCGTTTGTCTCGCAATGTATGGTTAACAAGGGATCTTAAAGATCACGACGTTTATCACCTGACGAAGTGTTGCAGCGGCACACGAAACGTCGTGATCTTTTAGATCCCTTGCCATACATTGCGAGAGGACCGAATATCACTAGCGATATTATTTTCGAATGTTGTACTTGTTTGCCGTATGAACGTTGTCTTAAAATCAATTGGTGATGTTATCATTTGAAATGGGACATGATTGCTCTTTCATAAGTCTGACACATGAAGTAATATCTATCATTGTAACTGCCATCTCTAATAAGGCTCACACTGAAACATAACAATTTAAGGAACAAAACTCTCATTGTGTGTATAACGTTAAATGCCTTGAATGGTTATCTTCATAATATTCATGACCCCAAATGACCGGTTTTATTGGTTTCCTAATGCAAGTTGATAATTTGTCTTTTAAATAATGTCCAACGAGATTCTTGTTCTTTTTTTTTCAGAAACCATACTACTATGCTGTCACGAAGGGAATGATTACCAAGTAGGGGAAGTTTTAAGGATTAACTGTAATACTTGGTAAGTATACGAATGTCATTATAGAATTATGTAAGAATCTTACCAGAATTTAAAAATACAGTTCTTCTCAACTGTCTTATAAAAACTATTTGATTATATGTAAAACGACAAGCAGGACAAGTCAATAATACTCAAAGAGAAGGTTGAGTTCTGGGAAGAGGTGAACAAATAATTTGTGAGTGTTATCATTGTAATTATGCAAGTGTGGAAGAATATCAGATAAAAAAATGTTCCTGAAAAGCATGGCTCTTCAAATGCCTTATGTTCTAAATATGGCATGTAACAGCTTAAAAATCTAATTTGCATTTACTTATATTTATATAGTTGATCTTTAAAAAATGGTTCGTGAACAATGTCATAATCCTCTCTGCAAAGAACCGATTGAACAATGATGATCTGTTTTCTGTCCAACAGTACATGTAAACCTGTTCTCTATGAATTCGCAACATTCGTCTGTGAGCAGAGAGATTGTGCCATCAATCCAGAGGCCTTCGGAGAGATCAACGACGGTAACTTCGGGTAAGTATACATCCAGCTGTAGTAGGTCCATGGTTAAAGACCATAGAAGTGGCCTCTCATGGGGAATTTGACAACATTCGGGTGTTCACCCAATAACAGGTGTTTTATGACCAACATGCTTTATGTAATGCTATGCCTCCCCCTATGGTAAAATCACTATCTGAGATTTTCATCACCCGAAGACTCTCCACAAGACGAGGGGGGGGGGGGGTATTTCATGATTGGCCTACGGGTTCGCTGTGCAGACTTGTCTGGTGTCAGCGAACAATGACCTTCTGCGCTTGGAAACTGACGACCCTCTCCCTGAAACATTACATAAGTATTACCAACAAACATTGCTCTCTAGGTAGTTTGTGTGCCTATAGTTAGAGTACTTGGGAAAGGGGAGTTGTCGAGGGAATAATAAGTAGTGATAACTGTCTTCGGGGTAGTTGTACAGGGTTGCAATTTGGTTAAAGGTAAGGACAGGTTAAGGTATAGTGTTGGGTCCAGGTTTGAAATCATGAAGTCGGTTTGCAGTTAGTGTGGGAATTTACCGCGGAGCAATTGTCGAAGGAGCAGTGTCATAGAAACAAATCTGAAGGCGGTATTTATCAGGTTTATGGTAATTTCCTAATGATGATGGCGACCTTCCCGATATGCAGGTAGCCAGGTATCAAAGCCCGACTGCACTAGTTCGGCCAGGGAAGTTATACCTCCCTGCAAGGTCTCTGACAGGTGGTTATCTCATTAAATCAGCTCTCAAATAACATAAGAAAAAGGGGATCATGGTGGACCAACAGGCACCGAGCAGGCATTGTTTGGTATAAAGAGGGCGCAAATAGCTATATAAGTAGTACAGAAGGGCTTTAACGTTTCAACGATTTTGATGAACCTTAATTTCGCATCCAGGTGGTCAGCGGGTAACCAGACCGAGTTCTGGGGCGCCTCCAAAGACGACGCGATGCACTACCGGTTGGGCACCATGAAGCCCACCGCTGCAGTCCTGACTATGCACCAGATTCAGAACGACATGCCACCGGAAGCAATTCCCGAGGAGTTTGACGCAAGGGCCCAATGGCCTGGTCTCGTCGAAGGGGTACAGAACCAAGGCAACTGCGCAAGTTCGTGGGCAATGTCAACAGCAGGTACTTCCGTCTTATTGCTCAAAACTCAAAATTCTTAGCAATCAACCCTGAGATTGTCTAGAAACCGAGAACGATGTTCACATTCTTCAACCATTTGGTGTTTCAAAGATCTCTAAAGACACCAAAGAGAAATGTTGAGCACTATCACACATAATATACTAGGTAAAAGCTTAAGCTAGTTGGTCAATGTGCAAAATGTTTTATGGTTTTCAAATGCAATGTTTGTAAAGAGATAGGAACCCGAATACTTGAACAAAATGGATTTCCGCTAAGAACTCGATGGCTCCACTAAATGCTCTGTCAATGCTTTGGTCACAGTATTTTAATCGTCATTTTGGAAATATTGACAACTATTAAGAAATCTTGTTTGATTGCAGCTGGGGTTTCTAGATTTAATCTCGACAACCGTAATTATAAAACTAAAGCAACAACGTCTTCGGTTGTGTTAGAACCACGACTGTTTTTTTCGAGACGTGTTCATTTGTATTTTGCCATTTTGTTTCTACTTTCAATAGCCACTGCGTCAGATCGCTTAGCCATCCAGTCTAACGGTACATTCAAATACATGCACCTGTCTCCGCAACATCTACTCTCGTGTAACGTAAAGAGACAGCAGGGGTGCGCTGGAGGGCATCTAGACAGGGCCTGGTGGTACATGAGGAAGAGGGGGTAAGTCGTGCATGGTCAAGGATAATGGTTAGGATAGGATAATAATGGTATTGACGACGATGACAAGGATGATGATGGTGATTATAAAGATGATCACTAGGAGGAGAATAGTTGTGATGAGGAGATGGAGGACCAAGAGCAGGATATTGGTGATGAAGATGATGATGACGACTACGGAGTGAATGGCAATAGTGATAATGATAATGATAATGATCATGATGATGGTGACGATAAGGAGGAGTGTGGTGACGAGGCTGAATTTATCTCAAACATCTTCTCTCATGTAACGTAAAGAGAAAGCAGGGATGCGCTGGAGAGCATCTTGACATGGCGTGTTGGTACATGAGAAAGAGGGGGTAAGTCGTGCATGGTCAAGTATAATGGTTAGGATGATAATGGTACTGACGACGATGACAAGTTTGATGATGGTGATAATGATGATGATAACTCGGAGGAGGATAGTTGTGATGAATAGGAGCAGGAGGAGGATGTTGGTGATGATGATGATGAAGACGATTAAGATGTTGATGATTATAACGATAATGGTGATGATTATGACGATGGTGATGATAAGGAGTTTATGAGGAAGAAGATGATGATAAGGATGAGTATGGTGATAATGATGATTACATCAACATCTTGTCTCATGTAACGTAAAGAGACAGCAGGGATGCGCTGGAGGGCACCTATACAGGGCCTGGTGGTACATGAGGAAGAGAGGGTAAGATGGAGTCGACGATTGACGATGGTTACGATGATGATGGAAATTTCGAGGGCCTTGACGGGGATGATGATGATAACATTGGAGGAGGATAGTTGAGATGACGATGACGATGAGGAGGAGGAGGATATTGGTGGTTATAAGGAGGAGTATGAAGATTAGGATGATGATGATGATATTGATGCTGATGATGATGGTGTGGTGAGATGATGGTGACGATAAGGTGAAATATGACGATGACGATGAGGAGGAGGAGGAGGAGGAGGAGGAGGAGGAGGAGGGGGACAGTGATTGGTATGAGGAGTAGGATGATAACATACCAACATCTACTCTCATAAATAGACAGCAAAGATGATGATGATGACGATAAGGAGAAGTATGAGGAGGAGGAGGAAGAGAAGAAGGAAGAGAAGGGGGATAGTGATGAGTATGATGATTAGGACGATGACATCTCAACATCTACTCTCACAAAGAGACATCAAAGATGCACTGGAGGGCATCTAGACAGGGCCTAAAACGACAACGAATGTAACATGATGATAAGGATGAGGATAGATGTGATGATGATAATGATAATGATGATGATGATGATGATGATGGTAATGATTTGGATAATAGGGAGGAGGAGGAGGATGATGATGACGAAGACGATAATTATGGTGACGATATTCCAGATAATGATGATGAAGATAATCATCATGAGGAATAACATGATAATAATGGTGATGGTTGTAATGAAAATGATACTAATGATGATGGTGACGTAGGATACTTCAGATTATGATGAAAATGATGGTTATAGGATGATGAAAGTGCGATGTTTATGATAAACAACACTATGATATCATAGTGATGGCCTTGATGTTGTCGCAGCACGGAATGCTGAAAGTTATTGGCCGTGTTCTTCTTGTAACAAGGGAATCAGGCAACAACGGTTTGTATTTCGTATACATACATATTCTAACAAATCTTCCTCAGTCAAGTTCGTATTTTAATACTGAAGTCCTTGGACCCGTTTCAAAAAACCTTTTTACAATGACAAATGACAAATATCAGTGACAAAAATGCTGATAACCAATCAGAAGCAAGGATTTCGGTAGCTTATAACAACAACTGTCATTTGTCACTGATGACACGTTTTGTGAAACACCCCCATATGTTTTATCTTCCAGAATTGTTACAGAGGACTGCTACCCGTACCTGAGCGGGACAACGTCAGATATGCAAATGAGGAAGGGTAACTGTTACATCAAAGGTCGTGACCGTGTGCCTCCGTTCTGCCCCAACCCTACGATAAGAAGCCAAAGATTCATGTCCACACCGCCTTACAGGATAGCACAAGATGTAAGTCATGGTTTCCTTATGTAACATGGCCCGAATGGCCGACGCAAATGCCGGTTGCACGCACAAAGCGTCATTTCCTGACACAGGAATGCGTCAGCGATTGGTATGGTATTTGACAGTGATAAATTGTGTTCTTTAAAAATGAACACTCAGGCTCGAATTCTCAAAGGATTCTCAAAGGTTTATTTGCGTCATTTGACGCGTTTCGACGCGTTCCAAACCAAGGTTTGTACAATCCTAGGTTTGAAATGCGTCGAAACGCGTCATAATTATGACGCACACAAACCTAGGTTTGTCGACAAACATCCTTTGTGAATTAGGGCCTCAGTGTTTGACTTGCTGTGGATTACCGGCATGTTACGCTATTTGCCCTCAGTCACATACTTGATTTAATCATGAACCGAGTATATACGTAAGTCCATGATTTAACGCAATCGAAAAAGCACTTGATGCACCGTTTGCCAGTTGCACACGAGGCGTTGCAGTGCGTAAGTGACCCCTGCATGCGGTCCTGCGGTCTTTGACACGTCATGTATGTCAGACTCAGAGTGACATCGTACAAGAAATGAGTGGCATTTGACCAGTGCATGCAGACGTAGATTTTTGGAAAAATCGATGTCCTCATTTTTTTTTATTTGCAAAGGTATATCATTGACGCCTCGTGTGCAAGGGGCATACTAGTCCAGCCTCTGTACCGTTTTCGTTTAGCGCACCCAATCAGCTGATAAAATAACACATCCTCAACGTTGAAAGTAGACCTAGCCATTCCTCTAAATCGGACGGAAATTTGGGGATTGCGCGATCAGTGGAGAGACCGCGATGTGTGTGGGGGATAAAAAGAACGAACGGACTGAATCTGGACTAGGGGCATACCAGTAAGGACCAACGCCGTTTCACCACTAACGCCATAAATAGCGTGTTGTCGCTAATGTTTGAAGTTCCGAACAGTGCCGATATTACCCGAACATGACCGAACTATATTAAAAGAACAAAAATTACGATAGAATGAAACCCTAGTCATATCGTCATAAAAATTTCCTGAAAAGAATGTCACATTGCAAGTTTCAAATTATGTCATAAACAATCCTGTTTACCGGATTCAATTGATTTTTTTAATGATTATGACAAGTTGTTGTTCAACGTGAAAATATTTGCAAAGTTTCATTTATAAATTTCACCTTTTGTTCTCCTCCTCTGTCACGGTTCTTTTCAAATATTTGTTACTCGTGTTTCCTCGTTAAAAGAACATAACACATTTCGATTTTGTTTTCTTGATTGCTTCAATTGACCTTTGACCCAAATAGTTTTGTTTGTAGTCCCACACGTAGTAAAGCGTGTCATGTTGACCACGGCCTTGTGTCCATTACAGTTCCACCCCCTGTGAAGCGTATGCTATATCACACCTCTTTTTTTCTTTTGAAATAACAAGATTTGACGTTTAGATTCGTTATTATTTTCACCATGAGACAACTAAATGTTACTTAAACGCTCTACTTCATTAATCCCGCATACACCTCAAAGTGTTTGCGTGTCAATATTCTTTTTGAAATTGGCAATAAAAAAAACCACCCCGGCGCATTTTACCTTTGGGTGAAAATCATCAATAGTTCCAAGAAACTTGTTTATGTTTACAAACTCTGCTTTTCTATCGACGAAATTTCCGATTAGTATTACCTCTTTTTTTTCTCACCAAAATCGGTTGGTCCTCTCTTAAAAGATATTGTCTCCCTTTAAGATATTTTGAAATATTCCATAAGACAAGTCTAGAGAAGAGATTTTCTTATTTACCAACGGCAAGATTGGACAACCCAACATTTACAGATGGAAGTTCATTAGAAGATGGAAGAACTTCATTGACAAATTTGTATCATGTAGGAATGAAAAGTATAGAGGTTTTCAAAAGCTGCGAAAAGTTACAATATTTGCTTAACTTATTTGGCACAATTATTGGCTTGCGACTATGTGTGTTTCTTAAAACAAGAGAAATTGCGCGCGAAAGTCACGTCCAAAAACCGATTAGTCTAGAGTGCTTTCCTTTTAAAGTTGCAAGAGCGCCATAATTGGGGGAACTGACTCGGAAACACGGAACACGTGGAAAACATCAGTAGGGGTTCCAAGTTCAAGAACATCCTTGTTTTCTTTGGAATTATGTAATTTACTTATGAAATTCAAGGTGTGTTCCTACATCTCAAGACGAAGGCAGAAGTGTATCAGAAGACTATTGATCTACTGGATGGTCATAACATGAAAATGAGTTTAATGCAAATATAATTATACGATACAATAATCTGGTCGTTGATTTAGTGAGGATCATAGAAATCGAAATATTATATTTCATACGTTCATATCGTACAAACTATGTCTATTATTAAGAAAAATGAATAAATGCGAGATCTACTAAGAAACAAAAATATAGCCGGACAATGTGAGGGACATTAATTGTTCGCTCCCCCCTCTCTCTCTCTCTCTCTCTCTCTCTCTCCCTATCTCTCTGTACCTCTCTCTCTCTCTCTCTCTCTCCCTATCCCCTCTCTCTCTCCCTCCCTCCCCCTCTCTCTCTCCCTCTTTATCTCTCTGAGACTCATGAAAAATTGTAACAAAATATTACTGAAAGTAGTGAGAAAATTATTATTGAAAGTCACCTTCTTCCTTCAAATGAGCACCGTTCAAAACAAGGGTCGGATTAAGATATACAAAAACTTTATCAAAATATGAGATACCAGCGTGAGACCGTGTTTGTTGTTTCTATTCTCTGACCACAACCCACGTGCTATATGATATCAACGTCACGGCTGTGAGATGATAGTAATTCTATTGGACACATAGAACCGCAGGTGTCCAAATAGTTTCGATTAGTATCCAACGTCACCCTCCGTAACATAGTCATCAGTCGTGTTTTTGTATTGAAAGATGGATCAAAGGCATGATAAAGTAACATCTATCAAAAAGAATACAACATGGGGGTGTTTCACAAAGATTTTAAGTCAAACTTAACTCTAAGTTGGACTCAAATATTATGGAGAGCTATTTGTAGTCTGAAAATAAAAATATATTCAAAAGCGAAAATTCAAGTATTTTAGACTTTTTATAAATCCACATCAAGAACATGAAATTTCCTTGATAATAGAAAATATGAATGACCTGAATCCAAATTGTATGCCTTTTGAAATAACTTTTACAATTTTTTTTTCATAGATGCTATCGGCTTTCCATATTTGTTAAGTCCATCTTAGAGATAAGTTCAAATTAGAATCTTTGTGAAACACCACCCTGGGAGAAAAATTATGATACCATGTTCTGTGCAATTTGCCTAGTGTGAGGGCATCTTATTCAACCATGAATTTAGCGGATGGCATCTTAGCTAAGGGCGTTACCCATTCAACCCTCAATAATGCTGATGATGACGATGATGATGATGATGTATAATGATGATGATGATGATGATGATGATGGTGATGATGATGATGATGATGATGGTGATGGATGATGGATGATGATGATGATGATGATGATGATGATGATGATGATGATGATGATGGATGATGATGATAATGATGATAATGATGATGATGATGACGATGAAGGTGATGTTAAAGATGATGATGATAATGATCATTACAATAATATATAAAAGTAATAATAATATGATAATAATGATAATGAATTCAATAATAATAATAACAATAATAATGATAAGGATTTCAATAATAATATAAATACTTTTAATGAAATCATAATAATGATAATGCCTTGTTTGATCAGTTCCAGTAAACTTTCAAGACCCCACATCTCCCTCAACCGTTCTATTCTACATCCATACTTTATCGACTATCTTTTCCGCACCTAATATATTGTAGAGTGATGTCTCCTAATATGTCTAAGAGCTAGCATCAGTTCAATCTTTGCTTAAATGATACAATTAATTTCTTATTAATCCCAAATATTATGTCAGCGAATAGAACGATTTCATTTGATCTAAATCGGGCCTTGAGGGTTTAAAGAATGTGATAGAATTTCGATTAGAATCATGCGAGAAAATGTTTTAACTTGGTTTCGTTTCTCAACATGACGTCTCTCTAGCATCATACCCCCTTCCCGTTGCCCTCGGGCCGTATGGGGTGGAGTTAGTTTCGAAAAACGTGCATTCCATCATGGTTTATAGTCATTCATAATTTTGTAATCTCGAAGTTCATGTTTGCTAAATATAGTCAATGTTCCAATCGAGTTTGTTTGATAAATATTGTGCCCAATACTTCAAATGTGATTAGGAGTAACTTGGAGTCAAGACACGCCTTTGGGAGCTGTGTATGATGGGTAATGGACCTCGAGAAAAAGGTGTATATGAAATATGATTATGAGGACGATGGCAGGGGTTTGTAATAGTGGTTCGGTCTTAGTAAAGATGTGGTGATGATTATGATGATGATGATGATGATGATGATGGTGGTGATGATGATGATGTTGATGATGGTGATGATGATGATGATGATGATGGTGATGATGGTGATGATGATGATGATGATGGTGATGATGATGATGATGGTGATGATGATGATGATGGTGATGATGATGATGGTGACGATGATAATAATAATGGATGATGGTGATGATGATGATGATAGATGATGATGATAATGGTCATATGAATGAGGAATTAAAGAAAGGTGCAACTTGGTCCTTGAAATTTGAAACATAAAAGTTTAAATTTTATTCTTCTTGGTCCTGCTATTTGCCGGGGTGCAAATTGTAACCATATATATGTGTATATCTCATTTTAACTGACTTTATCCGCTTTTCATACTTTGCAGGAGCAGCAAATTCAGGCGGAAATATTCACAAACGGGCCTGTACAAGGTAATTTCTTGTTTGATCTACTTTTTCAATAGTTACAATAATTTCAGCTCTTCAAGGATAGATAATACTTTACATTTTACATTATACCATATAACAGACGTAAAACGTAGGGCCATGCATCTCAGATTTGGCATTGTTAAACAATGCCTTTAAGGAAATATAAACTTTATCTATCAAGAATAAACCATATTTTCACAATCATTTCTGGAAAAGAGGTCAGAAAATTTTTCCAACTTTATGGGCAATAGTGTGAACTAAACAATTGCCTTTGTACTTTATTTAAGAAACATAATTCTGTGCTTTTTTAAATTGAATAATTGTTCCCGATCTTTCATCTCTACAGCTGTTTTCAACGTCAAAAGCGATTTCTTCATGTATAATGGCGGTGTGTACAGGCATGTCCCGATGAAAACGACTTCGCCTGCGTCTAATGTAGTCTTTACCGGAGACCAGACCAACGTGCAGGCCGATGGGCCGTTGGAGGATGAGCTAGGGGGATGGCACTCCGTTCGAATCTTAGGATGGGGTGTCGACAGTTCCTATCCAAATAGACCACTCAAATACTGGGTAAGGATCAGTCCAGGGGGGGGGGGGGTGTTTCACAAAGATCGAACTTAGGCCTATCTCTAGGTTGGACGTAACATATGGAAAGCCGTTAACCTCTCTGAATATATTTTGTAAAAGATATTTCATAAGGCATAAAATGTTGATACATATTTTCTCTTATCAAGAAGATTTCATCTTCTTGATGTGGAATTTATAAAAAGTCTAAAATACTTGAGTTTTCGCTTTCGAATTTATTTATTTTAAGGCTAGAATTGGCTCTGAATAATTTGTAAGTCCAACTTAGAGGTAAGTTCGACTTAGGATCTTTGTGAAACACCCCCAGAATATGAACGGTGTTATTATTTTTTATTTCGCGATCTCTCCCATTCCCCTACCTGCTGCAAGCCGAAGATGGCGTGATCCACGAATCCGTACAGTCACGTCGATGGTACGCCCAGCCGAAACACATTTTTACGCCGGGTGTAGAAATTCGGGGGTCAGGCAAAATATTCGGCTTGTAGTACGTTGAGGAAGATGGTTATGTTGGTGGAGATTGTTACGAATTTAATTGGCCAGATTCTGGACTAGGTAAAGATTTGCATCTTGTATTTAGTGATTTAATTGGGTAATGAACAGTTTGAACAATATATATTTGTTGATCGTTGTGACTCGCAAGATAAATAATCGTTTTAAATATTTAAATATTTTTTTCTTCTTTATTTGATATGTCGTTATCGTGGTAATTGGGTCGAGCGTTGAGGAAAAGTATCATTATCGTTGAGAAAGCTACTTTCTGACAATTAGATGATTCTAAAAGTATAACATTTAATACATTTTCGAGATTTTAATCTCGTTTAATATTTTCTCTGTCTCTTTTTCTCTCTCTCCAGCTATGTGCTAATTCTTGGGGTACCGCATGGGGCGAGCAGGGTCTATTCCGAGTCATCCGCGGCGAGAACGAGTGCGACATCGAGAAATTCGTAGTCGGCGTCTGGGCGAATATTGATACGGACATGATGAACCCAATTAAAACAAACAACGTCATATAAACATGTCGACTTAGGGATTCAAAGAACTCGGAAAATGAGACAGTTATGTGATTTTTTTCAGGCTGACGTAAACTGAGCTGGTAATGTGAATTTCAGGCTGATGTTGTATTGCAGTTTACGTATTGAAATGGCTATGATGACGCTGCCCCTCGTCAACGGTGATAACGAAAGTTACGATCGGGGAAAAGTTGTAGTCACGTGGGTTCTGACGTAATCTTCGGACTGACCAATGATATTGCCGGACCCTGATGAGCAACGTTCGCACGCAGAAAGTGGGTCGCTGATTGGTTGATATCGGTGACAACTAATGTTACATAATAGAAATGGATGCGGAAAAACTAATGCTGCCCACAGTACAACTTATGCAAATCAGAGAAGACCATTGCTGAGGAGGACATCTAAGAGAATGAATAATGGACATGATTGACGATGGTTAGAAACATTGGAAGACCTACGTTTTTGACGAGGGGTGCAGGTTTGCGCCTATGATACTCCTTATGTTCTGGCAATAACATATTTGCGGCATAGGCTATATAACATGTAAGAGAACGACACAAAACACCATTCTTTATACTTTTAATCAAGAGTCAAAGTACACGGTTGTCGTAGCATGCGTTTCGTCACCGGAGGCGCAATCTACATTTTCTTCTTCAAAATGTTCTTGAAAAAGAAAAACCACTTTTTACTCAGTGAGGTATGCAATGTGAATTACGCAAATGGCTGCATTACACAACCAATCTATTCCGTATCCGATAAAACAAAGGCTTGTTGATATGAAATCTCGAGAAAATAGAGTTCACAGAGTGATTGTTCTTAATTATTTTGTCCTTCTTTAAAAAATATCAGAAAGATTGCAAAGACGCAAAGTAGGAAGAACTACTGTTGATGTGGATCGGGGCCCTGTTTCATAAAACTTGTTATCAATAATAAATGGCAAATTTCTATGGCACATTTGCTCTCAGCCAATCAAATGCCTCGATTTCAGTAGCTTATAACAGTTATTGTAACTTGTAATGGATATCAAGTTTTATGAAACAGGCCCCAGTGCTAACTCGGCAGTAGGGCAAACTTCGCCACGCCACGCAATGCCGAAAGGGCCTCACTGCCGAGTTAGACCGACCCCGGTTGATGTGACCCTGTTACCATGGATACCACATTTCAGCATCCCGCATCATTATGGCTATTATAGGATAGGATAGGTATATATAAAATTAAAAAAAAAACCTGCTAAAATTCTGACGCATTTATATATGTCTTTCTACCAACGTGACTTAGGAGAGTTATGACTAAAATTAAACTGTAAATATTTTGCTGAAAGAAAAAAAAAAATGTTTTATACAGTGGTTTAAATTACACACTGCGGCATGTTTTGTCGATGATATTTATAGATAGATAGGCGTTTTTTGTATGTAATTTGCGTATTTATGTGTTGGTAAGATGAATTGTGCTTAAAATGATCGTAAAGCCTTTCGAGAAATCAACCTAAGGCAGTTTCGATGGCCCCGTATACGTCCCTTTCTGAAATGTACGAATATTACAATAATATTGATAATTACGTAATCTGAACAAGGTTTCTATTGGGCAAACGGTATTGAAATTGCCGTTGTGTCGATTACTCGGAAGCCTTTGCGATCATGTCTGTTATCATTATTCTTATAGTTCTGTCTAGATATATTATACTTAGATTGGGAATACGGCATCATGATCAATATGACTTTGTGTGGAAACGTTGTTTGTTAATTTCATATAAAATGATAAAATCATCAAACATAATGAATATCAAGGCCCCATTTCCCAAAAAGTTGTCATCAGTTGTTTTTGTTATAGAAGCTAGTGAAATCCTTGCTTCTGCTTGGTTATCAGCAGATTTGTCACTGATTAAAAAAAAAAAATTGTCATTGAAAAAGAGGCTTTATGAAACGGGTCCCAGGTATTTTACAGGAATAAATTGATATTCAGGGAACATAAGGCTGCTCTGTCATTCTTGTATAGGCATCCAAATCATCAGACATACGAACAGAAATGTATTTGTTGATTTCATTATATACTCGTGATATCAAGTATGTTGCATTACAAATAATTGTGATGTATTTGACGTTTATTTAAATTAATTAAATTTCACGACAGTTTTATCCATACATTTTAATTTTCAGTAGAACAAGTTTATGATCACCATATTCGCTTGTGCACTTTGAGTAATGGTATAATCTTATATTTATAATGTATACATAAATATGCATATCTACTGAGTTTCATTAAATTGTTATAAACTATATATTTGTTTCTTATCAACAATACAACGTTGATACTTTATTTCAAAACATTATCATGGAAGAGAAAAGATTTTTTTCTTCCATTTCCCAGATTTCAGAGGGAAATTCCTGAGAGAAAATGACTATTATTTTTTAATATAACAGACCATTGCCAACTACCTTTAATAAAACTGAAAAAAAATTGAGATTTTTTAAGAACAACCAATAAAAAAAAAAAAAATTAATTCATATCCTTTTAAACTTCAAAATTGGAAGCTCTTATTAGGGTTATCCGATTTTGTTTGTAAGTGTTATATCCGAATACCAATTTTATTTAAGTCCTTTCCCAAGAAAGTTTTATAGCGAGGTTTTATAATAAAGTATTGAATAATATCGTATTATTTTAGTGTTTTATAATCATTATTTTACGAGTTTCAAAGTGTGCTAAAGGAAATGGGGCGCTGAAGAGATCAAGGGATGGGAAGAGCTAAAAGAAGAGAGCTGAAAAAGAGAGAAATAAAGAGAGAGAGAGAGAGGGGGAGAGAGAGAGAGAGAGAAAGATGAAAGAGAGGGAGAGAGAGAGAGAAAGAAAGAGAGAGAGAGAGAGAAAAGAGAGAGAGAGAGAGAGAGAGAGAGAGAGAGAGAGAGAGGGAGAAAGAGGGGGGGGGGGGGGACGATCGCCTGTATCGATAAAAACAAACTGAATAATAAACGTGACAAGGAAATGTTTTTTGTGGTATTATTCTATCTATTTAATGGAAGAATTATTTAAAAATCCGCAAAATATACACATTCTTGACATGACATAAGTGTGGATAATATTAGGCCGAACCATGAAGAAGTTTATGAACTGCCTCTGATAAAACCAAGCGAAAGTGAGCTGAAGCGACTTTACTTTAGGTTTCAGCATACATCTAAAATATATCAAAGCATGATTTGAAAACGTCGTGGCTTATTCATATTACGTTTAACAGTGAACAAATGAATCGTACAGAAACCGTTGTACATGAGTAAAGGAGATATTATTTAATTCTATTTCACGACAGTTAATATGCCTTTCTCGGGCAGAATTGCACCTATATTCTCTTAAAACAATAAAATACATTGAAGTTATATCTCTTTTATGTTTCACAGTCATGAAAAAGATAGACAATTTCACACGTAATAAGATTAGAAGAGTAACTGAGATTATTGGACGGATAAAAACGCACATATTTGTCAAGATCAGTCTACCTGAGATTGTGTTTTATGCAAAGAAAATATCTCTCTTCCTTACCCTTCTTCATCTCCCCATCATCTCTTCCTCCCCGTTCCCGCCCCCCCCCCCCCCCTCTCTCTCTCTCTCTCTCTCTCTCTCTCTCTCCCTCCCTCTCTCTCTCTTCGCCCCCTTTTAATCTCTGTCTTTGTTTTTTATATATACATCTGCCGTATCGTTAGCTTTTCGCTAGGATGGCGTTGGGAACCAAAACTGTTAAAAAACGAAAAAATGTCAGCAAATTTGGATCGTTATTGGATATTATACTCCATCCATTTTTAGTAGCATGGAGGGTTGATTCCAAGACTGAAAGATCTCTCTCTTTTCCCCACGTGGGATAATTTGTATCTCACCTGGTCCGAATCGATCGAAAGCTTGCAGATTTCTATCTCTTATGTACAGAATTGCGATTGATATCAATTGCAAATAAGTTGCAATTAGCTGCAACTGCTTATAAAAAATAGCCCAGTCTAACCATGGACTAGTCCATGATCTAACACCACCCATTCAAAATAGTCCAGTGACGCCCAAACGTCTCCCCCATTTTTACTCCTTGATTTTAATGATGCAGAACTTGTTTCCGAGTTCTTGGGCGGGGTCTATCTTCGAGAGGATGATGAACTGGAAATTGCAGGTGACATGAGGTAAGAATTTGTCCTTCTCGTAATCCGGTCCATCCTCGTCGGTGATCAGATACTCGTACCTAGGATAAGTGCAAATGGATAATTTCAATAATAATAGTCATCCATTTATATAGCGCATCTACACTCTACTGCGCTTAATACAAAGTATCATAGTATTACCCCGGCTGCAGCTGAGATGAGCCGCAATAATAAGTCGCTAAAGCATTTGAGGAATTTCTTCCTATTTACTTCACCTGGGTGGAGAGTGGCAAAAGTAGATTAATGTCTTGCCAAAGATGTGATCTTTATTTGATGTTTATTTATACGTCTATTTACATAATCATGTATCTGTAACCTTTAAAATTAGTATCATAATAACGTGAAATCAATATACATTATACCAAAATAGACAAATAAAAAAGGTTCATCTAAAATACAGCTTGAATTGAAGTCTTTATCATACATATTCACAAATGAAAACAAAAATCATGTAATATGCAACAATTCATTTCATTTTCGCTATTGGCGTATAAGAGACGGAGATACTAGGGACTTTTAGATTTGCACAACGATAATGTGGATTGCTACGATCTACGTCCTTTTAAAGGACTGCCTTGAATGGACGTCACACGTATCAGTCCACGCAAATCTTAAAGTCCCTATAAATGTGACAAGAGTGTACTGCAGCACCCCCCTTTACTTCCCTGAAATGTTGAGACTTCCAGTATTTAGTCAACAGACTGTTATTTCATATTTTGGTAGCGAGTTGGTGTTTGTAAATGTTATCATATCAATGACTAAATTAGATAAAACGATTAAAAGGCCATAAACGGTGCACAAACGGTGGGTGTCGTAGTTATACTACAATAATGAAGGGTCATCTTTGCTCGTTGACTTTGCGTCATTGCAAAATGATGGAGTTATATCATCCAGGGCAAGTCTCATAATGAATAAAATAGAATTAAAAAGCACTCACTTTTGAAGTATTGATTTGTCCAAGACGTCATTCATAAGATCTTTGTTGATTTCATCAAATCTATCTTTACACGAGTTGAACATATCCGAATCTCCGAAGTCAAGAGTGAAATTATTGCCATATCTGTAAAAAGAAAGAAAAATATCCAGAAAGGCTGTTTTATTTATATGCTATAATACGATAACAAAATGACAAATGCATAATTAATTCATATGAAATATGACAGAGCCGCGCTGCGAAAAGAATAGTGACTATTAAATACTACAAGCATTGTAAAATTACCAATAGGCACGATAGGCCTATTCTATAATCACCGGCAGGTTCAGGTTTTTGACCCATTATAATTTATATCAAAGATATCTTAATGGGTGGGAAAAAAGCTTTTTCACGATGATACAAAGCGTTGAATATTATTACCCCTTTTTTCTACGAGCGTTTGTATATGCCTAACTTTATAAAAATCACAAGACGTTTGAGAAATCGACTAAGGGATACTTTCAATATCATTAATTTTGTCTATTCAATATTCACCGACAGGCTCTATAGCTTGTGACTATCATAAGTCATATCAAAGCAATTTTATTGGTGAAAAAGAGTTTTTTTTTCATGAGCGGGATACAAAGCGCTGAATATTATTTCTCCGGCTTAATTCTCCGAGCGATTATGGTTAACTTGTCGATACAATATTGCTTGATCATCGAATTCTGTTATTTCGCTAGTCAGCCTGATTATAGATAGCCTAATGATAATAATATTGTATGGCTTTGTTTTCGTGTGATACAAGAATAGGAATATACACTGCTCTCGCTATGACAATATTAGAATCGTCTTCGACTTGTCTAATATTGTTATAGCTCGAAAAATACATGCTTGTATCACAGTCAAAGCCATCCAATATTGTATAAGTACACTGTCGCTCATAAAGGTGGAATATTTTTTTTTAATTCCAATTTATTGAATTATTTTAAAAATAATTTAAAAATAATAGATCTAAATAATAGTATACATTCTCAGATTTTATTGAATAATAATTTGCCAATGTGTGTTTTGCGTGACTGCTAAAGCATGTGTATGCTACTATGCTTATCAACTAGGGGACCTATGCCCTTACAAAATAATAACAAATTCTGTGTGCCATGCCTTGAGCCATAATGCATGGCCGTCCAGAGGATTTTTTTATGTTGGGGGACCGGGGTAATGTGCAATAAATTATTGAAAATTTATTGCATTTTCTGTGTTTTTTTTTAATTTATGGAAACTGCCCCCTACCCTAGCCCCCGCTGCGTACAGTCATGGTTCAGTGACAAAACAATGGCCTCGTAACTGTGAGGCCCCAGGATCAAAACCGTGTCGATGTGCTATATTAGTGCCCTTCTGTGGGGCATTAATCCTCATTACTGTCATTTATGACTTGAGAGCGTAGGTCCCCTTGTTAATAAGCATAGTAGCATACACATGCTTTAGCAGTTCCGCAAAACACACATTGGCAAGTTATTATTAAATAAAATCTGAGAATGTATACTATTATCTATATCTATTATTTTTAAATAATTTTTAAAATAATTCCATTAATTGGGGTAAAACTAAAATATTCCACCTTTATGAGCGACAGTGTATTTACCAATAGAATGCATGATCGCATTATATTATCATCACACTGCAATGTCGCATACCTTCCAATAGGAGACGCACTATAGGCTACTGAAATTGCCTTTTTGTCAATGTTGTTGTTGTACTTTTTGGTATCGGATTCATAATAAATCTTTAAAGCCCATGCTTCTGCAATAGTTTGGCCAGGTGGTTATCTCATCAAATCAGCTCTCGATTAACATAAGAAAAAGGGGATCACGGGGGAACCAACGGTCACCGATTAGGCATTGTTTGCTATAAAGAGGGCGCAAGTAGCTATAAGTAGTGCAGTAGTGCAGTGGGGCTTTAAATTATAATACTATAGGCTAAACATTACAAACCTTATAGATCCAATGAGACGCTTCCTAATCGACTCTGCTTGCATGTCCGCCGGGGATATAGCATCCAGACAATTCCCGCCTTGGTAGCGAAGGAACACCGCCGCTCTCCCGCCGCCGTCGACGATCATGGGCCATTTCCCCGTGCTCTTGATTTTCCCGTCATCGTCCTTGAGTACAGCGGCGAGATCCTTCAGCTCGATCTCCATGATGACGGGCTTGGGCGGTTCAGCGGTGGTCAGGTTAGCTAACTTGTCCGTCACATCTAGAAACAAAATAAGAACATATTTTATAGAAATATTGAAGTATGAAAAATGGATAATAAATGCGATAGCAAAATTTATATAGTTTTAAAAATCGAAGGCAATTTCAATAGCCTTTAATATGCGTCATCTATTGAAATGTGCAAAACTGACTTTGACATTATTGGCAACCATGGGCGTAGATCTGTAATTGATACCTATTGTTCAGGGGGGGGGGTGATCTATTCATTCATCCCCCCCTGAACAATAGGTATTACGTAAGGATTGACGCCCATGTTGGCAACAATAATGTGCAATCATCTGTATAACTCCTTACTTCACCCCTCTCTCTCTCTCGCTATCTGTCTGTCTGTCTGTCTGTCTCTGTCTCCCTCTGTCTCCCTCTGTCTCTCACTGTCTGTCTCTCTCTGTCTCTCTCTGTCTCTCTGTCTCTCATTCTGTATTTCTCTCTCCTAATCACACTTCAGTCTCTCTTCAGTTATGTTTGAACTAAGTATGATATATACGTTTATATGTATACTGACTTTATTCAGAACTGAACCAGTTCTGTTTAGACTAAGTTTGTATTCTCCAAATTATGTTTTAATGTATACTGACTTTATTCAGAACTGAACCAGTTCTGTTTAGACTAAGTTTGTATTCTCCAAATTATGTTTTAATGTATACTGACTTTATTCAAAACTGAACCAGTTCTGTTTAGACTAAGTTTGTATTCTCCAAATTATGTTTTAATGTATACTGACTTTATTCAGAACTGAACCAGTTCTGTTTAGACTAAGTTTATATTTCTCCATATTATGTTTTAATGTATACTGACTTTATTATGTATTCAGAAACTGCAAACAAATTGAATACAATCTGCAAAATCTACATATTACATAATCCGCATACACATGATTACTCTATGTAATACCTTTGGGCTGGTTTATTGAATTTCAACCCTAACATGTTGGTATTGGATTAAATTAAACCATGCTGAGTTGCTGACACTGCTAATGGAATAATTAGAAAAAGATAGATTAAAGCTAATGAGACTTACGGGCACGTATCTCACCAACGGCTTACGTCCCTTGCCCGAATATATTTCTATGATTTTTTTGGTTTGCGAGCGAGCGAGAATTTTGACAACCTATTTATTCATCATCAACTCACTTTATAATTATAATGAAAATACTCCCTTGCCATCCGAATATCAGGTGCCAGTTGCCCCCAAATTAGTATTCTCATTCTCAGAGGGGTGTACCCCTCCCCATCTAATCTTAGCAGTAATGACATTAAACCATGAACAGTTTTAAAAGGCCATGTTTAATATACCATCGTCGTCAAAGCCACTTTCGCCCCCCCCCCCGGAAGGAATTCAACTTGCTTAAATACACGACTAATATAAACACATCGAGGGATTCTTTTCGGATAGTAAGTGCATCACAATGCTAAATGAATGGAATACCAATAACGAATTCATTAACAATTTTGTTATAGTCAAAACCGCTTACCTTTTGTATCCTTGCTTGCTGAGGGTCCGGCCTTCTTTTGAGAGGAACCTGCAGTTGATTTTTTGCCCGCCCGGGTTGGAGCCGCCTTCTTCTCCCCCTTCTTACCTGCTACCTTCGGAGGCATGTCGATGAGTGAAGATCGATGATGATAGGAAAATGATTTGTTCTAGATCTGTTTCGTAATCAACAAGAGATGATTTATGTATCCGCGGTGTATTTTTGTCGCATGTATTGCATGGAAAATAATGCAGAAATGACCCACGCTGACTTAACAACGCAAAAAGCAAATATATAGCTATTAGATCAGCATCGCTACCGTAATTCGTAAACAAACTCATGCGCTATTGTACATACAGGTGTGCGTAAATATAGATCTTCTTTTATTGTTACGTCATTTTCGACGAACCGATCGATTGTTACCTATTGAATAGTAGCGTTGACAATGATAGAAGCCTGGATAGCGTTTTGCGAGGTCATTGTAAATTGCTACGTAATAGATGTAGCTCCAATTAGCCATCTTGAGTTGAATTTCCAAAAGACATATAATTACGTTATGATTTCTTTTTTCCCTTAAATCAACACTTTGGTAGCCAATGTAGTTACCCCCCCCCCAATCTCTCTCTCTCTCTATTCTGATTTCCGTAATTTCATTACCATCGCTCACTTTCACTCGGACTCTCATCACTTTTGTTGATTTATGGCATGTTTTTATCTCTCTCTTTCTCCTTACTTGGTTCCTACCATTTTCTTTTATCTTCCCGTATTTTCTTCATTTTCTACTACTTACTATTTCTTTCCTTGCTGTTTGTTTAAATTCTTCCTCATTTCATTTGTTTACTTTTTTTTCCATCCACTTTATCAGCCTGTTCTCTTTCACTATCTTTCTCATTCACTCTCTCTCTCTCTCTCTCTCTCTCTCCTTCTCTTCTCCCTTCCCAAGCTAAATTCTTTTTCTCTTTCTCTGGTCCTGTCATCCTTTTTACTTGCTCATTTCCCTCTATTAATAAATTAGTGTTCAATTATTAGATTGTTATATTCATTTTGCATGTACCTGAAGAAAAGGATTGTATGAAATAATTGAGAATTATTATATGATGGGAATAAAACTGACAAGTCAGTAAAAGTAAGTTGTTTCTTCAAAACTATATCTTCATTGATCTTCACATCGCATAGGATATAACCCAACATTAATTGCCTCTTCACTTCTCTCTAAATTTTGGATTTTTGTAACAAAACACAATGACAAACCCAATAGCACAAGGAACATTTGTTTGTCTTTTTCTCAAATCATTTATATTTACAATCATAGAATAAAAAAGATACGAGTTACTTTGAAAATATACAATGTATATAACATGACATACATGGACGGAAGAGCGTTATATTATCACAGAATGGTCAAATATAGAGGAAGAAAAGAAATACTGCTTTGGACTAATTATGGACGGAACAAAGGAATATTAAAAATATTCAACATATATATTCAAGAAATATATAAAGGAAAGAAGGCAGTGTTAATGGCACAATATACAATATTGATATTAAGGCTCTTACAAAAAAATACAGCTTGTTATTCCAGAAAATACAATAACATATCCTTGAAACCCTTTGTAACTTGTAGAATAAGATTTCATAATAATAATAATAATAGTAGTATAGTAGAAGTAGTAGTAGTAGTAGTAGTAGTGGTAGTGGTGGTGATGGTGGTGATGGTGATGGTGATGTTGATGATGATGGTGGTGGTGGTGGTGGTGCTGCTGCTACTGCTGATGATGATGATGATGGTGGTGGTGGTGATGGTGGTGGTGGTGATGATGATGATGATGATGATGATGATGAAGGTGGTGGTGATGATGGTGGCGGTGGTGATGATGATGTCTTGTTTACCCAGGGTAGCCTCCTCAGTATTCTCCAGCATTCAAGGAGATACTTCGTTTCGGGTACCCATATACCTCTCCTGGGTGGATTGTGGCAAAAGTAGATTAATACCTTGTCAAAAGACAAGAGCATACCATATTAAAAAAAAAGAAAAATATTCACGTCACATGAATTTCTTGGTATCATCTCAAGTTTTCTTCAACCCAGCAGGTTAAACGTTAGATGAAAATGTCATTAAGGTAATTCTACAACACATCACATATAATATTGAAGGAGTTTAAAAAATCGCACACAATCCACATAGAATAATTTTGAGTTTACTTCGGTTCTGAATACCAGCTTCAAAACAGCTGTATTTAGAAGCTAGACTTTGACTCTCTTGTTTAAGAAAGCTAAGAATAAACTTCTCATGTTTGTATCAAAACTTTAAAAACTGAGACCATTTTACATTCCAGATTCTCTGATGAAATACTATCATGTTCTTTCATTGTATATTATTTATATCATTTATACTCAACTTTTCAGTCATTACTTAGCCTGCAGGACTCATGATTCACTATATCTGATTTGGTCTAAAATCTGCAGATAGTGTGATTTCCTCTCTGTAAACTTTGGTACAGTCATGTCAGATCATCTTCAAAACTAAGACTTAATATTAGGGGCGTTCACACCTACAGAAAAAGCAAAAAAATTTGCATCGCAATCCAAAAATCCTTTTTTTGCGTGTATGGACAGAATAATTTCACTAATCTTCGCGATTTCGCGTCCAATTCGCAGTAAGTCTCATGATTTTTCAGAATAGTCGCGATAGTTTGCCAGCCGCTGTGTGTGTGAATGGTATTGGGAATCCAAAATCAATTTATTTAATGCCAGGATTCCAAGCACGCATACATCGTCGAGATCCAAGCATGCGCAGTTTGGACGTAATTCTTGCCGTTGAGCGAGTATTCTCCCTGTGTCTGAATGGTCGCCCCACCAAAAAAAAAATCAATCTTTGCATCGCGTTTCAAATCGCAATAATTGTTATGTGTGAATGGGCCTGTTGAGAATTCAACCTAGCACTACCCTGAGTACATAGAATCTGTCCATTATCTCATCATCCAGTTCATTTTTGGAGACCAGGAACATCTTGAAGTTCTGGGTCCGGCTCTGCATGAATTTGTTCTTGTTGTATTCCTCCCCATCGCTCTCCCTCACGAGGTACAGATATCTGTGAAATGAGTGAAAGAAATGAAAATATGTTTTAGCAGGCGGTGTTGGCAGTCGCCCCATCAAAAAAAAAGAAAAAAAAAAAAAAAGGAGAGAGTGAGAGAGAGGAGAAAAAAAGGAAGAGGACGTAGGAAGAAAAGGGGCAGACATAGAAACCTGTCTATAATGACTGCCCAACGGAAAAAGTGGTATTTGTAGACAGGTTCATTTAGTACATGTCTCAATAAGAAACCATTTTCAAGGGAAACAAAAAATGTGGTCTTTGTAGACAGGTGGTCACTAAAGTAGGTTTGACTAAACTGAGACTTTGCTTTAGTTTAGGCTACCGCTCAGTATACTCACTTTTCCTTCTCCAGGATACTCTTGTTGAGGATGTCTTCCAGGAGTCCTGGCTGGACTTCATCAAACCTTGACACGCACGTCTCAAACATGTTCACCTCCAGGAAGTCCAGAACAAATGGCTTGCCATACCTGGCAAAGAAAAAGGCAACAGAAACAACATTTCTCAATACGACTTATTATTATTGATATGCAGCCGTACATGTAAGGCGCCCAAGTGGTACAATACATCAATGTATTCAATATCTTTAGCGCAGTGCCCAGATGACTGACCAATAATGTTTTCATATTGCTCAGTCACCCAGGAACTTCTATTGCTATCGATATTTATATCACACACACACACAGACACACAAAAAGCCATATTATTGGAGTAAGTAAAATGTTGTTATTTTGCTAGTCAGCCTGTTATAGATAATAATAATAATATTATATGGCTTTGTTTTCGTGTGATACAAGAATATATTGCTCTCACTATGGCACTATTGGACTCGTCTCAAATTCAAGCAATATATATATATAGATAGATATAAAAAGAGGGAGAGAGAGAGAGAGAGAGAGAGAGAGAGAGAGAGAGAGAGAGAGAGAGAGAGAGAGAGAGAGAGAGAGAGAGAGAGAGAGAGAGAGAGAGAGAGAGAGAGAAAGAGCATCCCCCTCCTCCCAAAATTAAATGAATAATAAAAACACACACCAACATACCTTACAGCCCCTAATACAGCGCTTCTTATAACCTCCGGTTCCATGTGATTTGGGTTGAGTGCGTTGATGAAGTTGGTATCCTGATAACGGAGAAATGTTGACACCCTCCCAGAGGGGTCCAGGAGCATCGGCCAGCGACCGTCAGACTTGATCTTGCCTCCGACGTCTCTTAGCAACACGTCATTGAGCTCCTTAAAGTTCACCTTCACACCAATCTCATCCTCTCCTAAAGATAGAATAAATACAAGAATTTTAAAGAAGTTACCCGAAGAATCAAAAGTGTTTTGAATTGATGCAAAATTCACATCATTGCAAAGGAGAAGCCTTGCTGATTAAATATAACAACTTCCCTCTTCAAAATATGTTTGGGGCCTGCAGTAATCATCTCTCAAAAATTATATAATTTTGAGATCCAGATTTTCTGCATTCAGCAGTCCTCCGTAGTGTCAAGATTTGGGACGTCACATGCCTTTCCACAATTTCTATATGATTTTTCACCAAATTCTTCGTGTTTTTTAAAGAGAAAATTTTTCCATCGATATAATTTGTCCATAATCATTAGTTGTCATGAATTTTCTTTGGGTGACTACTTTAACACTATAATGTCAAATGACTTGTCACATTGTAAGACCAATTCAACTTGTTTTAGTACCATAGAACTCAGAATTCAGTTGAAAATGCATACTGAATACAAAGACATCACCACCAACAGGATATTAAAATGATTGAATGGATTTTGAGTAAATCAAAGTTTAGATTGATATATTGCATCTTCTTGAAGATGTCATTTTGTAAATTTAGTATTATTAGATTTAAGTTGGGGAGAGAATATATATCTATATATATATAATATATATATAAATATATTGATAGAAATGCAATGGAGACATCTGAATTCTAGAAATGCATTTTAATCATTCAAGATATCATCATACTCCATTATAAATCATATCAACTATATGATATATTGATCGCGATTATAATGTCAAATGACATTATAATGTCAAACAATGATGACAAATCTATTTTTTAGTTAAAAAATACTTAAGGCCCCACTACACTACTTGCGTCCTATATATACAGCAAACAATGCCTAATCGGTGACCGTTTGTCCTTTTTTCTTATGTTAAATGAGAGCTGATTTGATGAGATAACCACCTGGCAGTGACCTTGCAAGAAGGTCGAATCTCTCCTGGCCAAACTAGTGCAGAGAGGCTTTAAGACAATTTATATCCAATTTTTAATACATGTACATGTACCAGCTGAATCAACAAATCTAGAGGTACATAAATGTATTCTGAACGACTGAAATGTCAAAAGATCTCAGAATCGGTCCCAATATCTGTGACAGAATGCTGTATGCCATTTCAGTTTGCTCTGTGTGCATGAAATCACATAGATGTGCATTCGCATGGGAATCCAAAATCTGTTTGTTAGGACTGGGCTCTACACAGGCAATCCAGATTGAAATCTTAGAGCTCAATGTTAACATGTTCAAATTTTGGGGGTTTGGATGTGTGCTCATATGTCTCAAGCACCCGTTAGTGTTGTGTCTTAGTTAAAGGGATTTGGTATCTTTAATGTCTCATATTCTAAACTAAATTCTGGATTTAGCTCATGCTGCAATCATAATTATAAACCTTTAGGTCAGTCAGGAATCTCATGACTTTTACAAGCTGATCGCCTGTCTGATTATCAATTTATTTATGATTGGAATTAGAAATTTCACAAACCGTTTTCCTTTCCGTATTTTATAAAACTACCGGTACATTCTATTCGGGAAAACGAGTTTGGTAAAACTGGTCACTCAAACACTTTTACTATTTTGAAGCACAATTTTTTTAGGGCTTCAATATTACACTATATCACAGGAACTGATAACACGTAGGGCCATGCCAGGAAACATAATTGTTAAACAATACCTTTAAAGTATACAATTTGGTTTCAAACACATAAATTTAACAAAAATGAAGTATCTATCGATCTCCTTACCACTGGCAGCTTTCCTTTGTTCTCTCATCTGTAGTTTGATTTGGTTCACTTTATTCCTTGCTTCATCGGCTGCTATCTTCGCCATCTCGAGTTCATGCTCAGCATCATGCACACACTGGAAGAATGTTGGAGAGTTTATGAATGTTGTTAACAGACATGGTTCTAGTGGTATGAGATATAACTAAGGTGGTTTGTAAGAGCTAGTACGTGTATTTCATTGGCTGAAAACATACCATGTACCAGTACATCATGTGACACTCATTGATTTTTTTGTTGTTGTGAAAAGCATGAGTCAGTTCATATATTACCCCCCATAGAAATTTGAAAATGTTGAGCATATTCGAAATATGACTAGACAGCTCAAATTTTTTATTTTCATTTGTTGTATGTTTGGAGGGGGGAGGGGATACTTTCTAAAACTGGAGCAAAAATTCACCTAACACCTGAACTGAGTTCTCGTAAGAAACGTCCAATAAGAAATTGTTATACTAAGTTAAATAGAGCAATAAACAACATCTATTCATCGAAATGAGCCCCCCTTGCTTTGGTGTCAGGTTTAAGACTTAAAGCCCCTCTAAAGTGTTGGTACCAATTTCTGCAAAGATTTTCCCCCAGAAAATGTGTTTGAAGGCAAACATTGATAAAAGAATACATGGTTTGGGTTTTCTGTTGTACTCAGAAAACCTTAATTTTGTATTCTTTCATCAATATTCAACTACAAACACATTTGTTTGGAAAACCATTGCAAAAATCATGTGTCTTAAATGACATCCTCTTTCACATTCACATTTACTCATTCACTAGTCTAAGTGAAATTTTGCCATCAAATTTTTGGGGCTCCCAACACTTTAGAGGGGCTTTAAAGTTGACTATAGCCCTGATATTCTCTTTTCCATTTCTGATAATACTCTTGCTTGGGATTAATTGCGTACTGCTTACTTACTTGTAAAGTAATATCAGTCTTGAATCCTGTCAGCATACATTTATCGTGTTCCACGATTCTTTTCTCCAGCTCACAGTAAGCTCTGCTCAGCAGTTTCTGCATGGCATCGTGGACCTTCTGTGCTTCAGCAAACTGGTTCTCAAACCTTATTTAAAAAAAAAGAGGAATATATCAAATGTTTAGTTTTTTCTTTTTCAAGCACTGTAAGGAAGTGTCATGGTGTAGTGGTTCTCTTTCAATCATAAGGTCATGAGTTTGAATCCCACTCGTTAATTTCCTTCAGCAAGAAATTCATCCACATTGTGCTGCACCCCACCCAGTTGAAGTAAATGGAGACTTGGTAGGAATTTATTCCTTGAAATGCAGAGCGTGTGACAGCGCTGCTCTGCTAAAGACAGGGTAATTATGCAGCATTATTGTAGAGCGCTTTTTAATATAGACTTCTGATAAAGTAAGTGTTAGGCGCTATATAAGCACATATAATTATTATTAAGGAGTCATTTAATAGGATTTCAATTGAGACAAGTGTTGATTAAAATGTAGTCTATCTACACGTGGTCAGTAACTCACTTTGCCATCTCAGCATTCTGTCTCTTCGTCTCTTCCTCCCTTCTCTTGTCCTTCAGCTTCTCGATGTTGCTTAGCAACGACTCTGTCATGGACACATCCCACGATTCCAGGAGGTTCTTGACGGCGTCCTGAGAAGCGACCTGTTCAGGTTTGTCTCCATCATTGGCGTAGATGCGAGGATCGCCTCCGTTCTGGAGCAACGTCTGAACGGCTTCCAAATGGCCAGCGAATGCAGCTCTGTAGTCAGGAAGATGAATGAATTTGTCAGTCGTGTTCAGTTTTGTTAAGAGTCACATATTTGTGTGACAAAGTACACATTTTTTCTGATTTATATATTTGCAAAATGAAAGATAGTCCAGATCTAACTTTAATTCGAAACTAATCCTGTTCTGATTTAAAAAAATTATATTGGGATTCATGTTGCAGAATATACAGGGATTCCCTGCTTGCAATGCCTCCATCTCCATTCTGGAGCAACGTCTGAACGGCTTCCAAATGGCCAGCGAATGCAGCTCTGCAGTCAAGACGATGAACGAATTTGTCAGTCATGTTCAGTTTTGTTAGTCACATATTTGTGTGAAAAATTGTACATTTTTAATTTAAACTCCTCACAAATATATTTGCTAAATAAAATATTCCAGATCTAGAAGTCAAGAAGATGAATGAATTTGTCAGTCATATTCAGTTTTGTTATGAAAGAGTCACATACTTGTATGAAAAAGTGTACATTCTAAATTTAAATTCTCATTAATATATTTGCAAAATGAAAGATATTCCAGTGCCACATTCATAAAACTTGTTATCATTAACAAGTGTCACATCTCTAAAAACAGATTTTCTCTCAGCCATCAAATGCAGCGATTTTAGTAGCTTATAACAAATAATTTGCAACTTGTTATTGCAACTTGTTATTGATGACAAGTTTTATGAAACAGGGCCCAGATATAACTTTAATTCTCAATTAATTCCATTATCTAAAATAAATAGCGACAATGCATGAGGAGGCGTGATGGCTCAGTGGTAAAGCAATGGTCTCATAACTGGGAAGTCCCGGCTTTGAAACCAAGTCTAGTCGCTCATGCCCTTTGTTAAAACATTAATCCTCATTACCAGGTCCCTCGGAGAGGACTTAAAGCCGTCAGTCCACTGGTTAGTTAGTTACAAGCATACACATGCTTTTACAGCAGTCAGGTAAAAAAAAATTCATTAATCATTAAAGCGTGTCTGCACTAGTTTGGCCAGGAGAGATTAGACCTCCCTGCATGGTTACTGACAGGTGGTTATCTCATCAAATCAGCTCTCAATTAACATAAGAAAAAGGGGACCATGGGGGACCAACGGGTCCCGCTTAGGCATTGTTTGCTATAAAGAGGGCGCAATTAGCTACAGGCAGTGCAGTCCCGCTTTAAAGCATTAATCCTCATTACCAAGTCCCTCAGAGAGGACTTAAAGCCGTCAGTCCCCTGGTTACTTAGTTACAAGCATACACATGCATTCTTAGCAGTCAGGGAAAATAATCAGTAATCATTAAATATACCTATAAAGTGGTGTCCTTTCAAACTGGCCTTTCTGATTGATATCCGCTCCTCTATCGATCAACATCTGAATCACCTCTGTAGCACCACCGCTGGAGGCCTCTGAGAGGGGTGTGTTCCCATTGGCATCTTCACAGTTGACCATGGCTAGCTGGTGACGCGCACGGATCGACCGGCCAATTTCATCAGTCGAGACACCATCAGTATTATCACGAGCATCGACCTTTACAGACAGTTATGAACAAGTAGATCAGAGTCCTTTCTCATAAACAGTTGCGATTGATATCAATTGCAACGATGTACAAAAGAGATACGAGACTGCAAACTTGCGATTGATTAGAGAACTTGTGATTGATTCAGATCAATTGCAACTCTTTGTAAGACGGGGCCCTGATTCATATAGGCACAATAAATCCTGAGAACAAATATAGTCTTATGTCAGAACTTCATATTATTATATGAGACAGAAAAGGACTCGCAAGTATCATAAATTAATGCTGTTCATTCTCTCAAGATACTGTAAATACATTTTCTTAGATGCTTCCCACCTCCGTTTTTTGTTCATGTTAATTTTGCCAATGAAATACAGTTAAGTAATGATAATTGAGGACTGCTTTACCTGACAGATGCTTGTAATTAAGGAACCAGGGGACCGACGACTCTAAGTCCTCATCGAGGGATTTTGTAATGAGGATTAAAGTCTTACCAAAGGGCACGAGCACATTGACTTGGTTTTGAACCTTGAACTTCACGGTAAGGAGACCACTGCTCTACCACTGAGCCATCACACCTACTCTTACCTCTTTCAAAACAGTCAGAACGTCATCCATGTTGCCATCAAATGCAGATTCTAACATCGTCTTCTCCCAAGTCTTCTCTTGCTTCTTCCTCCTTCTCATCTCCATCTCCTTCCTGTGCTCCTCCTCTGCTTTCTCCTGTTCTTTCCTCACGATTGCAAGGAAAGCCTTTAAAAAACAAAAAGGAAACACCACCATGTTAGAATAATAGATGCATCTAAACGAAAGCTTCCACCTAACAGCTGTGCACAGAAAAATGACAACAGGAACAGATTTGAGATAAAACCAGGGGATAAAAAGGTATTGTAAAATCAGATCTAAAAGTTTGTAAGTATGATCTTAAGGTTTCACTTTTATACATTTACATATGATTTTTAAAATTTCATTGGGGGGGGGGGGGGGAAGGGGGTCCAGTTAAAAAGTATATTGTGCCACAATTGCACTAGGCCTATGTTAGTGTTGGACCTGTGTTGTTTATCAGACAAAAAAATATGAGGTAGAAAATTAAAATAATGAATTACTATTAAAAAAATCAGAATTTACTTCCTTAAATGCATTTTTTTTCTTCAGTCATTCAACAAAATTTCTGAAAAAATGAAAAGTGACAATTTGGGAGGGGATCACTTTTGTGTCTAATTCACCTCTTTCTCCAGCTTCTCCACCATCTCTTCGTAATCCTCCTTCTCCTTCTTCATCTTCTGGAGCTTGCACTGGGCCAGGAACCTCCGCACCCATTTCTGGATCTGCACGGAGGCCAGGTGCTCCTTGCTTGGGGGTTTGGGCTTGGCTGGAGCCTTCTGGGCTGATTTGGCTGCATCCTTGCTGCCTTTGGCTGCTGGGCCAGCTTTCCTGGATCCACCTTGAGGCACAGAAGTCAAGAAAGATCAATAGGTATGTCTTCATCAGCTCGAGATTGCCAAATAGCCTGCTATTTCTGATTTGGGAAAACAGCCTGAAGTTACAAATTACGTCTTTATCAGCTCGAGACTCTACCTCGAGATATTTTGCTCAGCATTCGTGCATAGTGCGAGTCTCTGGACTGGTGAAGACGCATCAGACAAATAGCAGGATATTTTGCAAACTAGCCCAAGATATCTTGGGATGATTATCTTGACCAAATATCCCGCTAATTGCAACTGCGGACTGATGAAGACGCAAATTAGCTGGATAATTTGCGATTGGGATAGTTAAAATAGTGGGTTATTAGGCAATCTCGAGCTAATGAAGATGAAGACCATTAGGGGAATCTTGCTGCATAAAATTATTTGTTCTAATTAATCTGAACTTATTGAATAGTCTACTAGATCTATTTCTAGGCCAAAAATGATCATCAAGTTAAACCCTACCAAAATAAATATTCAACCCGTTTTCAATGCCTTGACCTTGTCCTTTCATTTCAATTCAGCCAGGGATAAAAAAAAAACAAAAAAAACTAGGTCTAGACCTAGACTAGATCTAGACCTGGGAATATTTACTCGTTAAGCCTAAACAATAAAATATTGTGGGGGAGAAAAACCTACGGCAATGATTATATTTTGAATGAGTCTAAAAATTGCACACATACATGGGCCCACCATCACCCCTACGCCGCCCCTAGGGTTGCGGGGAGCAAGGGAATCAAAATACGCTCACCTGGTGCAGCTTTTCCAGTCGTCCCAGGTTTTCTTGCCGCTGTCCCAGCTTTAGTAGATGTTGTCGCTTTAGCTGCTGGTTTAGCGGCAGCTTTCGGTACAGGTTTAGCTTTAGGAGGCATCTTATCTTATTTAAGCATTATCAAGTCCGATAAACTTATCAAGATGCCAGGACTCAGGAAACAGAAAGAATGGAGACAGTTTCTTCTCCGCTTTTAATTTTCTTTCACCTTTAGATCATGGCCACTTCACTTTCTTCGTCTAGTGTATGCGAAAGACTTTAATAATATTTCACATTATAGTGGATTCACGTATTTTCACCTATTTTTGCCGAATACATAAAAGTCGTCCATCATCCATGCCTTGCAATCTATATAAACTGATTTCATTCATTTTATATTATACAAGATGCAATTAAATCGCCAAAAATTCACTTTTTAATCGTCGATCTTATGAGAGAGAAAATATGACATTCTTTATCCTAGACTAGTAATGACGCTAATGTCGTTGTCAAGACTAGAGTCCCAGAAACGACGTGAAAGACGGGAGGGGACTCCCCTAATAAACGTTAATTCATCAATAATTATTCAGACGGTGATATGCTCTAGTAGAGTTTTATATCTTATCTAGCACATTTCGATGATAATTATTACATTTTCAAATTTCACAAAATTAATAAGCACTGGAAAGATATTATTAAATGAGCCCGTTTAGGCCTACGGAATTGAATCAACCTCCCGTCTCTTTCTTTTGTCTAGCTCTCTCTTTCCCTGTCTCCCTTTCTCCCTCTCTTCATCTTCCACTCTCTTTCCATGTCTCTCTCTGTCTGTCTCTATCTCCCACTCTCCTTCTCTCTCTCTGTCTAGAGCTATCTCCATCTTTCCCACTCTCTCTCTGTCTAGAGCTATCTTCATCTTTCCCACTCTCTCTCTTTCCCAGTCTCTCTCTCTCTCTCTCTCTGTCTAGAGCTATCTCCATCTTTCCCAGTCTCTCTCTCTCTCTCTAGAGCTATCTCCATCTTTCCCACTCTCTCTCTTTCCCAGTCTCTCTCTCTCTCTCTCTCTCTCTCTATCTCCCTCTCTCCTTCTTTCCCACTCTCTCTCTTTCCCTATCTCCCTCTTTCCTTTTTTTCCTGCATGCTCTCTCTCTCTAATGGATGGATAGTTTACTCATATTATTGGTTACAAATTACGATAATTACAGAGATACATGTATACTGGCAAAATGCTAAAATTCAGGGAAAATATTAATAAAAAAATTGGGGGGCTACTTTTCAAGCTTGCTTGCATGAAAATGACACTCTTTAATGTGTTTTGCATTGAATTCTCTTTTTACTTTCGGGGGCTCTTTTGGGCATTTTGGGGGCTAGTTCGCCCCGAGCCCCAGTGTATTTTTTTCCCTGCTAAAATGTATACATCTCGGAAAGGAGAACCATGGGGAACTAAGCTAGGTATTAATCTCACTGAATATGTAGTGTCTGTAAATGTGCACTACAAAAAAGTATTAAAAACTTTTGTGGAAAATCTGGAAATCAGAGACTTCATATTTGGGCAAAAGGTTTGAGACCCCTCCCCCCCTCCTCTCGCAAAAATAAATTAAAATGCCTGTTTGCCTACGAAGCATTCCATGCAAAGAATTCTATCAAACACAAGCCAACATAATGTTTATTTCAAACTCACATCACTTTATTATGTATAGTTAAATACTACAATATACCTTCATTTCAAAATACTTTCACAGTAAGTGAGAAGTAAACATTTATATGTTATCTTTTTAGAATAGTTGTAAAAACATGTTCATGCATGTCATATAGTGCATTGAAAAGGTGTCAAGTAATCTTTACTAAATTTACTGAGCACAAACATTCACAAATTACACATTCATGATTTTTTTTTTCTCCACTTTTAAATTGAAGAATAATCTTGAAGTATTTTCATAAATAAATTACAGTGTATTTCCTGATATAACCACTTCATGCGAATGCAATATGTTCTAATATAATGGCAAATGCCCAAACGAGAAGGCCATTAGTTACGGAATAATAACAAGAACTGTTTCTTATGACATGTGACAGTGTATACCAGTAGCGCCTTACCACGATACCAGTGATAATGTCACTGACCAAAGCGGTTACAGTATTATTGCGCCGATCACTGGATTTTTTTACAATTCTCCACTTTACAGCGCACAATCTCCACTCCATTGAGCAGCATTTCAGCCAATTGCCCTCTTTATGAGCAGGCACATGCAAATCCACTCACAGTGACATTCACATACCGGGTACCCATTGAACACCTGGGTGGAGAGGAGCAATGTAGATAAAATACCTCACCCGCACACTCTTTGCACACGATGACTGTTACGTCATGAACGAGGACAAGGTGAATACTGTATCCCGTGTCGAGGTCTGCTTCTTCACTATTCTCACCAATCAAAGCTAATGTCGAATATGACGTCATCCTGTTATATTCCTCTTCCCCATGACCTGATCTGAACAAGGCATAGAAGTGCAGCTCTGGAGTATTATTGATACCCCCAATAATATAGTTGAACAAGAGCTCCATCTACAGAGGACACAGTCTCTTACAGCTGTAGTTGAGAAGTGGCGTTCGGGCTAAATCCGTTTCCTCACTCAGTTAGTCACTTTGAAACAATCATGAACATGAGTGCCAAGTCAGGGATCGAGCCCACTCTGCTTTGACAACTCTTTGTAGAATAAATATACTGTAACGATAGACAAAAATAACTTCTTTGAATATTGGAACAAAGTGGCCCCTGTATTAAGCCTATGGCAATGAATGAATTCAGTTATCAACATATTAACATGTAAAATCCCCACGTGTCTGATAATGAAAACCATCCATGTGTGTATACATGTATCTCTGAAAGGTTTCACAAAACCATGTAGGTACAAGTTCACTGACAACCCATTGACTCAACTGTAATCAATATAACTTGTGTTTCTGTGGTGGACTTGTTCTTATGATGGTTTCGTAAAATAATGCCCTTGTATTTCTTATTACATGTAGGCTCTACAGTCTACAGTTTTCTTTTATATATTTTATCTGATTTAATTTGTGTGTGTGCAGAACATGAAAGTGCCAAATTAATAATTGTGCATATTTATCTACAATGTAATTCAAATGACTTGAGTTAGCAGTTACAGTACATGAAACAGGAGTAGATGTTTATTTCTCGGCTTTCAGTTCAGTTAGAGTAAGAACATGGTGCAAGTTGGCTTAGTAGTCATAGTAGATGTAGATGGGGTATCAATTTGAACGGAGGGGCGACCGGGGCAATTTACCCTATTTATTTAGGGATGACATGATGTAAGTATCTCATATTAAAGAAGAGTATCCTTCTGACTAATATTAATAAATTTCCTGTAGAGTGATTTTAACAATAAATTCAAAACAGCTGGCCTACACAAATAAGTGTACATACTGTACACTGTACTGTACATGTACATGTATAAAATAGAGCCAGTAATACAAACAAATGTTTAATGGAAAGAGCAGAAAAACGATACATACAACTATTACACTTGTAAATAAACTTTGGCAAGTTAAATTTAAAAAAAAAAGGTCTATAAACATATTTATTGGACAAGCGCTAACAAAAAAAAAGAATAGTGGAAAATCATTATAACAAACACATTAGGACAACAAAAATTACCTTGCTATAATGAAATCTTGATATGCTTTTAATAAGGACTCAGAAAAAAGAAGAATAATATGTCTTCATATAAAAGAGAGTATTACAGTGCTTTTTACGACAAGGTTCCAATGTACATGTATCAGCTCACAACAAATTCCTGACATACAGGTGTACTGCAAATGCATGCTGTAATCTTTTGCAAAGACATCAAAATGAGGGTTGAATTGACTTATCATATGAAACGAATTACAGGGGCACATGTGTACACTTGTATAAATTTGTGTACTGTACAAATAAGTTTGAACATAATGGCTTCTAAATGTACATGTACATGTACCAACATGTTTCCAAATAATAAAATTGATACTCAAACAAAAAGACTTGAATTGCAATCCTCCTATACCTGCCGTTTCCATGCTTTACATTTTTGGCATCTTATAAGACAGCTAGCTCAGTGAACTGCATACATGTAGGACCATTGTTCTGCTCAGTTGCCAATCATTTGGCAACGGTGATTTTTGCAGCGCCTTACAGCATCATATCTGAACAAGCCTTCAGACATGAAGTACATGTACAGTTGTATATATATCTGAGTATATGTATATTATAAATGAGCTTCAATTGTATATTTGAAGATATACAATTCAAGCTCATTCATCTTTTATCAAACATGTCTTTAAATGGGATGTCCCAGAATATCTACTGACATACTGTACAGTTGGTTTCCAGAAAAAGGCCTGTGTAGTGTACTACACACATTCCTATGTATTGTACGTCAGAGAAAGAGTAGAGATTTAAACACATGTATACACTGTAAACTACCATGCTATATCTGTACAAATCCCTGGAATTTTTGTAATAAACAGACTGAAAATGTGAGAAAATAGTGAATTCATTATTACACAACATACAATGAAATTACGTAGGCACATCGTCTGAAAGTGAGATCAAGCAAAGAGAAGGCCAACAGTAGCCAATGTACATTGCATAATTCTAACCTGCATCCATTAACTTTATCTTTTCTGTAATATACACACACCATTAAGCATCCAGCTCCTGATTAGAATCCATGTTAATGATCGTCTCATACTTCATGCACATGTCTGCGAACCTGTCGCCTTCTAGCCCCTGAGCCGGTGTCCGCATTTGGACTAACGTTTATGACCAACTCTGAGCGCAATGTTTCAGTGATCCTCTCAACATGACTAGGAGTGTCCTCAGATTCTGTTCTTTGAGCAGCAGAGCTACTAACTTGCTGGCTGACCAGGTTTCTGGGTGGGGCCTGAGGGGCGGGGCCCCTTGGTCGACTGGAGGGGCGTGGCTCCGGTGCAGAATGGGTTCGCTGGTGGCTAACCGTTAGACGCTGACTGACTGGGGAATCCCCTTGTGTATCGTTGACTACCTGCGAACTTGCACCTGATGAAGAAGATTCATTGGCTGGTCTCCTTCTTTGACGTATAGGTTTGGCATAAGTAGGGGGAGGGTTATCAGCTGGGGAAGGGTTGGTGTAACTAAAGTTTGAAGGAGATGATTCCTCCCCTGTTCTACTTGTTTGAGGTGGTGCACTTCTCACCACTTCATACACTGTCTCATTGCCAGCAGAGTTACTGTGATTGGCATTGGGGCTCACCGCCCTCGTTACCTGAGTACTTGCATCACTCTCCACCCCTTCTTTCTCAGATGGAACAGTCCCATCTTGTGTACAGTCATCCTTTTGCTTGACCATACCACTATCTTCATCGGAGGCAATGGCACCACCTACCGCACCCCCATTCTCCTTATCTTCTTCCGCTCCAACTACACGCCTATCTGCCGAATCCTCCTCACGCTTTACCTTAATTTTCAACCCTGCGATGCCCTTCTTGGCGGCGCCAACCAGGTCGCGTTTGATGCGTCTCCTGCGCGAAGGATCGGACCTCCTATACTGCAGCATGCTGTCCAAGTCAATGACATACACGTACCCTGCAATCAACAGCTCAAAGGTTCGCTTGTTGGCACGATAGCTCTCCTCCAGCTCTGCATCTGTCCTTTCATCGTACTGCCACCATCCATTCCTACCTTCGTAGAACCACGTATAGCTCTCCTCCACCTCCTCTTCCTCTTCTTCCACCCCCTCATCATCCTCATCATGATGGTGGAGCAGCTTGGGACTCGAGAAGAAGTCGACAGGGATCTCTTGCCTGCAGAGAGCACATCTTCTGTACTGTGTGGAGGCACCCTTCATGCAGAGGAAACAGAAGACATGACTGCAGGGCAGTTCCACCGGATGGACGCATGTTTGGAGACAAACGGCACAGTCTGGGATGTCCATCCTTTTGGCAGTCGGCTCTGGTTTGAAGTCTGAGACAAAAAAAAAAGGAAAAGAGAGAGATCGTTAATAACTAATGTATTATTAAAGTAATAATAATAATAATAATAATAAATACATAAAGTGCGCTTATCTAATAACTTACTCAAGGCGCTATACAAAACAAAATACACAAATCTCTCTCCAGAATTTTAACAACATAATATCATTAGTAACTCGGAGTATTAAAATAAAACCCATTTAACATATTTCTGAAAGGTTTCTAGGCATTGAATGTTTTGAATTTCACATGGCAGCTTCTTCCAGAGGACTAATGCAACATGCACAAATGCATGCTCCCCATAATGGGTGGTTTGGGTTCTGGGGACTTAATGTTACAAAATCTATTTATTAGTGTACATGTACCCTTGCTCTTGTGTAAGAAGTAATATTCAACTTCTTTAACCTCGGTGTAGAAGAAAGATCCTTTTTGGCATCAGAAAAGTTGTACAGATGCCAAACAAAAACAACATTACCCAAGTAAATGAGTGTTGCCCCTTACAAAGGGAAATCCTTTGTCCCATGGTATGTACATGTACGCTGTCTGGAATCAGGTACAGTCAAACCTGCTTTAGTGACCACCTGTTTACAAAGACCACCTGTCTACAACAAGCAATTTTGTTTTCTTCCTTTGAAAATGGTTTCTCATTGAAACTTGTACTAAAGGAACCTGTCTACAAAGACCACCTGTCTACAACAAGCACATTTTTTGTTTCCCTTGAAAATGGTTTCTCAGTGACATGTACATGTAGTAAATGAACCCGTCTACAAAGACAGAGCTACCAAGTGTCACGCATTAGGTGTGACATCACGCATTTCAAGGGTCTGAAAACGGCTCTCACTCACGACGCGCGCTAGATTAAAAAAAAAACGCCATACCTATACGTGCGTTATACCTAATGCCTTCACTGATGTGTATTATATAATAGTATAATTTTCATGAATAACTACTAAGACCATGCAAAGGTAATTACAATGCTCATGTAATGTATGCCTATAGATATTCAGCCAGCAAAGTGACCAGTACTCAGACTGAAATGAAAATTCACCCCTTTTGTTGCCACTTACATGTAAATGTACTGTATATGCACATTGTAGAAACAACCTGCATGTATACATGCACCCTAAATGTATCACTTTCTGACTCATTTCCTTCTTCCACTATTAAGGAGGCTACCACTGTTAATCAGGGGCTAATAATCCTGGCTTCACCATTTAGCTTAATTTGGGTGGTGTCTACATGATAACATCAATATTCCCCTATCTTTGCTTACAATCCAAAGTCCTATCTCTGCAAAGCTTCTTTTAATGTACAGTATCTTGAGTTGATGCAAGAATTTTTTTTTAAAGCACCCCCCCCAAAAAGAGTTTAAAATTAATCACGTACATGCACACTGTTTGTTGATGCGTGCTAGCTGGGTGTGAGGGGGGGGGGGGGGGGGGGGGGGGGGAGGGGGGGGGGAGGGGGGTGCTGGCTGGTCTTTTGATTTTTGATGAATCTTTTGATTTGGGTAAATGTTGGATAGCTGGCATGGTGTGATTAATATGTAAAGTGTACATATTGGAGTGGGGTAGTGGTTTCCACGGGCAAGTGGTCCTGGTGCTCACTTCTAATAACTTCAATTAAATTATAATATCACAGATAATTGTCAATAATAATAATACAGTAATATAAATAATAATATAAATAATAATAGAAAACTGCAGCTGTTACATAAATGTAAACTTACATGTAAAAAAACTGAACAAGCCAGACAATATTGCTTGTGAACCCTACATGTAATGGCTTAAGATACTGATTAAGGCTGTGCACAACAGTGTAATGAGGTACCTGAGTACACTCCCAGGTTTACAAGCGAATACTTGAATATTCGGACGCCATGTTTTTTTATAATTTTTTTTGAATTTTTTTGATTTTTTTTTTAAATTAATTTTTTTTTTTTTTGGATTTTTTTTTTGCCACCACCATCCCACTGGAGCAGTATCCCAGTTCCGTCGCCAAATTTTTTTTACTTCGAGTTGCAGTTGAAGGTGCCGATTTAATAATAATAATAACAGTAAACAAAGCCGTTTTAAAAACCAAAGATGGCAGAATAATCCATTTTCCTCCAAGTCCAAACAGAAATCCAGACATTTGGTCCCAGTTTCTGAGTGGTGAGTCTGACAATGCTTGAGTTGGGAAACATTTTTACCAACGGCACCATGCCAACGGCCGCCGCTCTCCCTGGCGTGGCTAAGCGTCGGCCTCGACAATTTTTTTTTTTTTTTTTGTGGCCGAATATTCGGGTATGAGAAATCGTACTCGAGTAAATGTCAACAGTGCGGTTACTCGAGCAGAGCTGCCAACCTTGTGCGACCGAAAAAAGGAATCATGATGGCAAAAAAAAGGAAATTTAAGCCAAAAAAAGGAATTCATAAAAAGAACCTTACAGCCACGCGCGACACACTTCCAATGCAGAAATGTTCATTCATCATGCTGTTTTTTCCATACAAGCAGGTAATATTTTTGGTGGTTAACACTGGTTATTTTGGTGTTATCGGCATTTATTTTCTTTTGAGAATATTTTTCTCTTCAAGTATGTTTTAAAATAAGTTTTCTATTGAATTCGTGATCAAATCACCATTTATGGGCAGTTGTTTGACGTGTGGTATGTAAAAAAAAAAAAATTAAAAAATTATTAAAAAACGTATTTTATGAAGAAAAAACGTAGTACCGTAATTTGGAGGAAAAAATGGGAGTAATTCCGGCAAAAACGGAATGGTTGGCAGCTCTGCTCGAGCATTCAACAACTCGTCGCAGCCCTAATACTGATTCCTGCTTAAGGTAATATACATGTACAAATTTCATTGTTACATGTTCAACATGTTAAACAAATCAACCAATACTTCCAAGAAGGACATGCTTTTTTCCAGACCAACCCAATTATGATCTCATCTCATGAGTGGCAGAGATGGAAATTGAATTGTTCCCCTTAGACTTTTTAGAAAGATCTATTTTTAGAGAACAGCCAATTACATTAATTTCCACACTCTATAAACCTCTATGTCTCGGTGAGCCTCACTTAATGGCAGGATTTAAGAAGAAAGAAAGAAAGAGAGAAAGAAAGACAAAAGAAAGAACAAAAGAAAGGAGAAGGAAAAGGAGAAGGAAAAAGAAAGAGAAAAAAAAACAAGGAAAAAAGAAAGAGAGAAACAAAGAAAAAAGAAAGAGAGAAAGAAAGAGAAATAAAGAAAAATGAAAGAGAAAAAGAAAGAAAGACTCAGCAACATCAAATCTCTTTCTTCCCCACAGGGATGAAGACATGGAAAGCTCTCTCAGGCTCCTAGTCAATGATGTCGTGGTGAGCCTCACTTAATGGCACGATTAAAGAAGAATGAGGATATCCTCATGAATATGAACGCAGACAAATTGCATCCTAAAAAGCAAGGATTGTCCGCATTTTCGCAGACTATCCTTCTTAACGATCCGTGCGTTGGCAATGCAAAAAACAGATTCTGTGATGATGCTCCATGATACATTTCTCATTGCCGCAGCACAGAGACTTTCACATTATTAACAACAAATCCTTGAGAAGACGGACAACCCGTAAAAATAAGTGGACAAATTTTATTACGCGGAATCTGTTTTTCGCATCGCCAGCGCACGGATCAGGATCCCTTCACGTCTTCACCCGCAGAGCGCCGAAAAAAAAAAACTTTCACGATAATGCGGACGATCCCTTTTTTTTAAAGATGCGATTTGTCCACGTTTATGCGAACGATCCTCATACTCGGACCACTGGACCAGCGCCCCTACTCACTGATCTAGCAGAAAACATAAATAAAATTACTTATTTATCGACATAGACCACAAATCTACACGTTAATATTAAACAGTTATAAAGGAAATCATAACACATTAAATGATTAACATGTTGATGGAAATGATAAGAGTTCTATCGTGTTCATTATGATTGATCAATTTGATGTTTTTATTCAACATGCATGGCCATGGTCAATTCAATATTGCATTGGTTACACTGTGTAAAAAATGAGATGCAAAAATTACCTGTGCTGCCAGATTTACTTGCTTTATGTTTGCTCAACTTGCTCTTTGAATCCCCCTTCTGCAACTTACAGCACCCTTGTGAAAGTTCCTCCGACTCCGACATTTCCTCAGTCGTTAATTTGTTAAGAAGATTCCTGAAAACAGTCAGTTGAAATATAGCTAGACCTACTTGTTTATCGTGAAGACATGATGAATTGAGCTAGTGCAGTGCATTACTTTAGCAGCACAACAGCAGTGCTAGTGCAATACAATTTACACAACATTAACAATAATACGTGTATTAACTCCGCACGTACACCGGCGTGAAGTTAGTTACTTTTTCCTTATTGGATATTCAAAATGTGAAGTTAGTTACTTATTCGATATTGGATATTCAATGTGAAGTTAGTTACTTATTCGATATTCGACATTCATTGTGAAGTTAGTTACTTTTTCCTTATTGGATATTCAAAACATGAATTTAGTTATTTATTCGATATTCAAAATAAGAATGCCGTTTATTACAGGAGTTATTGGCCTACTATAAGGTCAAGAGGGATGAGGGCAACCCAGAATCAGTCAGCTGGCCGTCAAAAGGTGCGCCATATGAACCAGAGTCCAAGGACAAGTATATTCAATTTTTGGTATATTTCATCAATCAAAGACTCATGGCAAGAGCCTGACGGCCTGGGCCGGCAACCACTGGTCCCTCAAGGTCAAGGACGATGTGGGCAACCCAGAAACAGTCAGCTTGCCCCGGCCCAGGCCGTCAAAAGGTGCGCCATGAACCAATATCCAAGGACAAGTAATATTCAATTTTGTTTGAATATTTTATTTCATCAATCAAAGTCTAATGACAAGAGCCTGACGGCCTGGGGCGGGCAGCCACTGGTCCCTCAAGGTCAAGGAGGATGTGGGCAACCCAGAAACAGTCAGCTTGCCCCGGCCCAGGCCGTCAAAAGG